CCCCCCCCCCCCCCCCCCCCCCCCCCCCGCCGTCGGAATCGAAACCTTCCCGCCAAAACTATTGGTGTTCGCCGTGTCCTGATTGATGACCTCCAGGAGAACCTGAGCGACAACTCGGTAGTGATCCTTTACGACCCGGTGCAGACGTCGAACGGGCAGCTGACGATCAAGGCGTACCGTCTGTCGAAGGCGTTCATGCGAGTCTACCGCGAGAAGAAGAACGAGGTCATCAAGCCTTCCGAGATCTTGGAGGAGCTGCCCATCAAGATCAGGAACCCGGGCATCATCAACGCCCTCATCTTCGACCTCCAGGTAGGTTGGTGGGGTTTGGTGATGGAGGAAGGGAGGCGTGATGTAGTAACCGTTCGTTTTTCTTGGCGTTTTGATTGTGGTTGTCGATGTCGATGTCCATGGTGGTGGTGGTGGTTGTTCGGGCATCTCTGTGTGTCACGCTTTGTTTGTGTATGTACCCTCGTGTGGCTAAATAAAACTGCTCATGTTGTTGTATCCACAGACTCACGCACGCCGCGAATAGCCTAGGTTTCCACGCGTACAGGTGCTTCAAGTACGATTCGGTTGGGATTGGTGACATGGTCGATATAGCCCGGGCATCTGCCCCCATTACATATGCCAGAAGGAAAACCGCCGGTTTCGCTCCCCGGTACTGCTGTATCGTATCGGTTGCCCTCTCCTGTATCTCTCGTGCTCAGTCAGACGCACCCATGACCTCTCTTGTCCGCTCCCCTCTGTCTCGTATCTCTTCTTTTTTATGTTTAAAAAAATATATATATATATATATACACATACTTGGAAGTACAATCACATCAAGACTAACCGTTGGAGATAATTCGACAGTCGAACGGGATAATAATACCTTTCCAGTGGGTGGGTAGAAAACCGGCTGGACACTGGGCTTTTTTCAGTCTATGTAGGCCTTGAAACGGAACTTTTATCAGTGATGACAGCTGGTGTTGTTTCTCTTTTCTTTTGTCAATGTGGCAGGAGGAGGACCGCGTGGACTGCGACTTCGACCGGCTAGACCTGTCGACCAACCCGTACCTGGAGAAGAACCTTGAGTTCCTCTGCAACTGGATAGACGACCTCTCCAACGAGCAGCAGAAGTTCAACCAATACACTCGGAACGTCGCGCGGCAGAAGCAGGCATGTTGGGTCTCGTCGTGTCTTGTCTGGCGCTGAGTGTTTCCCATCCTCTCACCAGTGCTAAACAACGGCTTCTAACTCTCGTAGAAAAACATCGATTCAGCCACTTACTCGGTGTACGCATTCTACAGATGCCCCCCCCCCCCTTTTTTTTTTCTCTTAAACGAAGCGGCTTCCAGAAACCGTAGGAGAAACTTGGAAGAGGTAGACGCGTTGGTTGGTCTGGGGTACCCGTCGTGCCATAGTCGGGTCGGCCGCCATGCAAGGGCATAGCTGACCAATATGAGCTTGCCCAGCGCTTGCCCTCCGCGACTACGTCGGAGAGCAGTATCTGACCCCGATTCGCAATGGTACTTGGCGGGGTATGGGGCGAACCCGTAGGTATTGTAGGTGTAGTGGGCTTGGACTTGGGGAGTGTTTTTGTTCCGCCGGGGACAGCCGTGTAGGCGAGATGCATTCGGGTGTTGGTCGATTGCCTACTATTCTAGTGTAAGCTTGACGACAACAAACGTGAGGTCCCTCGTGAGAAGTCTTGCGGCACTAAAAAAGGCACTCTCGTGTTATGCGTCGTCAGTCTGCCGTTTCGACCAGTTTTTTTTTTTTGTTTTCCTCCACCGGGGCGTACGTACGTTTGACCGAACCTCCTCTCCACCTCCGTGTGCCCCCCTCGCCCTTGTCCCTTCCACGCCCACGCCGACGTGTCCGTGGAGCAGGACCAAGCGCGATTGCTCCAGAAGCGCAAACAGCAAAACGACGAGCGCCGAGCTGCGGGCGAGGAAGCGCTGCCGGAGGAAGATTCGGCGCTCGACAAGAAGGTTTGTTTGGTGTCGGGTGCTGTAGTCTGCGTGCTGTGCTGGACGAACGGTTTCGTTTTGGGTGTCGGGTGCTGTAGTCTGCGGGCTGTGTTGGACAAACAGTTTCGTTTTGAGTGTTGGGTGCTGTAGTCTGCGTGCTGGGTTTGGACGATCAGGTTTGTTGGTCGTCGCGAGCAGGCACAGGCCACCTCTTTTGCGTTCTGCGCTGCTCTTTTTTTTTTCCCGTCTAAGTCTTGAGTCTCCTGTGGTAAATTCAGGTGTAGTACCAACAAAAACTCCGGCGAGCGTTTTTTTCGCCGATATGTTCATTAATTAAGGTCCGGAGAGAGGACAACATACATCCGTGCGCGTGTTTTACAAACTTTAAGGTTGTTGTGTTTGGTTGTTTTTCGGTTGGGGAAAGACATATTTCGTACAACGTCTTGCGGGGGTAGGTGGGGGGGGGGGGGTCACGTTGCGTTTCGACACGAAGCCAAGAAAGAAATCCAGAAGCACGCCCTTCTATCCAAGTAGCACGTGAAAAGACAAAGTCTGCTCACGTTTATATTCCTTCCCCTCTTATCCCATCCTCCTCGTCTGTGCGCTGCCTTTTTTTTTTCCTTCTTCAGTTGGATGCGCCGAATCGAATGGAGGGGCTGTTGATCTCGAACCAGATCTCCGCATACTGCTCTCAGATCAATAAGTTCGCGGGGTCGTCCTTCGAGAAGCTCTTCTTGGCCGGCTCTCTGCAGAAGGAGGCGTGATTCTGTTGGGTATATTTACGGGGGGGGAGGGGTTGTTTTTTTGCTTTTTCTTGTCATCCGCACGTGCTGCCATCCAGGGATCTTCGGTCGTGCCTGTTTTCGAAATTCCGCCGCAGGTGTTTTGACCAATCTGCGAATTGCGTGCCACAAAACCTTTTTCTCTCTGCTGTGTGTGTCGTCTGATTTTCCTACAAGCAGCCTTGGAATCACAACCCGTAGCCTAAAGTTAAAGTACAAGAGAGAGAGAGAGAGCGGGAGTGTGAGAGAGAGGCCATCATCGAGATTTTTTCGTGCCCCTCCTCTTTTTCCACGTGTGGGTCGAGAAGGGTGCGCAGTCGCATCGCATTATTGGCGGCATAGAACTAGCAAGGAAGGTTTGTTGATGCTGATTGATGAGCGGCGAACGGCCATGATTTTGCAGCGGTGGTGGTGCTTCTGGCGCTGCTGCTGCTGCTGCTGCTGCTGCTGCTGCTACAGCTGCTGCGGCCTTATCAGCACGTTTGTTTTTTGTGTGCCAAGCGTAACTCATTCTGCTCACGAAGTCTAGTGAAAGTGTAAGAAAGAGCGTGACGTGACGACGTGTAGGACAGCATCTATCTCTGGCCGGACGGACTTGTAGGAGTTGATTGCTGGTTGCCGCTGGGGTTTGTGCTTGGCGAAGAAAACGACGAAAACATGGGCGTTATTTTTGCCGGTAAGTCCACACGTGTGTCTCTGTTGGACCGCTTTTCACTTGTTGTACGGCTTTTGCTTGCTTGTGTCTTTCCGTCTAATTGTGTCTTTCCGTCTAATCGAGTCTCTGACTGAGACGCTACATGCCTCTCCTTCATGTAATTGTTCAACATCGGTTAAACACGCAACACAAGAGACGAATCACCGAGAAAACCAAAGCTTGAGCAGGACCGAGTTACCACAAGAGAGTGAATTGCCAAAATGTTGTGCGGAAGGGGGTGCGTGCGGGATCGAACACCATCAACAAGACACGTGCGTCCCAACAACCGGCGTTCTTCCAGAGGGGCGAATTAGACTCCCCCAAGCTGTATGCGTGATACCGCCGAGCACGTTCACATGCGTCACTTTTCGTTCTTAAAAAAAAGTTAAGTTCGATGGGCCCTGCCTGGGCCCTCAGAACACGCCTCCCCCCTCCCCCCCCTACCATTAGCGTTGTTCAACCATGTGTGCGGCGCAATCAAGTGATGTAGAGCATTGCACTCGAGTGCATCAAAAAGAGCGGCCGTGTCTCTCACTTCATCACGATACCATATAAATATATTAACCCCCAAGGGAATTCGACACCGTTCATTTTTCACCCCTCCCCCCCAGCCAACCCCGCTTTCTCTCGAATCGAGCCACTATCATACGTAAGCGCCAATACAACCATACAGTTACCATCACCACCCACCTCCACCACTACGGTCAGATGGTGGTGTACACACGCACATAAAAACAAGCCCACGTGGTGCATATTGGTAGATGTCTACGTCTGTCTGTGTGGGTGGGTACTTTACACCAAACGGCAGGGAAGATGACCCAACCCCCCCCCCCCGAAAAAAAACAAGGTTGAAAAAAAGAAGTCTCTTGCGCGTCCGCCCTCGAATGTTAACTAGTTCACAAGCAAATAAAAAAAAAAAACGCCGTGAAAGGTCTTTTTTTCTTTTCTTAACTGCGGTCGCGCCCCTTTCCATGTCCACCCGTTCTACTACTCGTTTTTCTTCTCTGCTCATCATCTCCCTCTAACGTACTTATATGTAGTCCAGCAGCAGCAGCAGCAGCAGCAGCAGCAGCAGCAGCCGAGCAGCTGAAAAAAGGGGAGTCCAAAACAACAAACATGCAGTAAAAAAAAATACACCAAAAACAGTTCTCACAAGGAAAGGCCACAAGCAGGTGCTGGAGAGGGTGTGTGTGGGATAGAAAGAAACGCACGCACGTAGGTAGTGTTGGTTAGGCACAACTATTAACCAACAAGGTGGCGTCTGCCACAGGGCGCCTAATCTCTCCCGTCTCTCATGAAACGGCACCTGCCTGCCACCTGTCCACAAAAAACAAAAACCGCTAGCGTAACAACACAGATTCGGATATAATACGTACACACCCCGTTGATCTGCACTCGGGGTGCGTTTCTGCAGACGATCAAAGAACGCGGCAAAACGAATATGCCCCCGCGCGTGCCTGCCTCTCTTCTTCCTTGTAAGGGCGGGTGGGTGCGGTTTAGAGGAGTGCCGCAGTATCACATGCCGCTCCCCCGCCCCCTCTCCCCGCCGGGAGGAAAAGAGACGGCATGCATGCATGTTAGGATGAGGGCAACCAACAGCTAGCTGCGCTTACGCGCACAAGCGTACAACAGCATCACGTCATCACCACCAACCACCGTTTTCTCTCCATGAGCACGCCCACGCCCTCTTCACCGCCCAACAACCTCTCAAACGGCGATGCTATTTTGGTTCTCTGTTCCTCGACTCCTCTCATCATTGCTGGGCAAAAACCTTGTCGCCGAAATAGAATTAGCCCGCACGCTGAGACAACAACGAGGCAGGGGTTGAAGGGAGGTAGGTGACTGGAGGTACCCTCTCCCCTTCCACGGCGCCCCTACACTCCCACCGGGTTCAAATCTCAACCAACAGAAAACAGTCAAACCTCAGAGGACAGCCGCATTACACCACCAACCACGCTTGCTGCTGGGGGGGGGGGGATTTCTTTGCACCAAAGACACCCAAACAAATGGAAATGGCGCGCTGTTTGCAAGAAACACGCACGACGACCCAAGAAAACTACCGTACGGTATGACAAACAAGTTACATTTTTTGCTCTCTGTTGAATACATGTACGCTATTCGCGGGCTATATTTCTTATCATTAAGGGAAAATAATTCTTAACTCCCTTCCGTATTTTGACTACCACCTCGCACAGGGGGGGGGGGGGCGCCAAAAACCCCCCCCAAAATTTTCCTCCCCTTTTGCCCCCCCCCCC